CATCTCCAGGTACTGTGAACTCTGTATCTCTGGATTGTGGATATTAGACAATCACATTCCTGGGAAGCTAAAGTGATCAAGGTGAAAGGCATAGGGATCTAAAACCCCTTGATGCCCAAGCAAAGTTCTCTCAGAATCCACAGCCTTCTGATCCAGGATGCATAGTGTTTACTTTCCATGTTAAGAGCTGTGCTTGTGAATACTGGCTGGTCACAAGTAAGTGAGGCATCAGTAGGAATCAAAAACTTGATAGTTTAACTCATTGAATTTTTGAGAGAGAGGGAGGGAGGGATTGAGGTGGTTTCTAGAAGAGAGGCAGAAATAAAAAAGAGTAAGAAGTTAGCTGAGAACAACCCACAGATGGATAAAATGAGTTCAACCTGAATCTGAGGTACATAAAGCTGCTCAGAAGAGCTTTCAAATTAAGTAGGAAACGAGCAATTAGGTTGAGATACTACCTTCTCTGGAGCCAGAAAACATGAGGCAGAGCTCTGATCTAACATTGAAACAAAAACAACCAGCAGAAAGGAGAGATTTCAGAGAACTGAAGAGAAGGACCTAGTTTAAAAAGGACCCTGCTGAATCCTTAAGGCTGAACCCACCTCTCTGCAAGGGGAGGAAGCACCCTGCACTGCCATCTGCTTGTCTAACTGCTGGCACTGAGAAGTGGGTAGACAGCGAGAAGCTGGGTCTCCAACATCCTAGTCCAGGACCAACCCTAAGACCAGGTGCTATTGCTGGAAATCACAGAGCCATTGTCATTCACACCTGGCTGAGCTGAGGTCCAGAGTTTCCTACAGCCCTTCCTCCCTGAGCACAAGAAGAGGGGAAAGCATGTGGCTTTGGGGTGAGGGAGACAGAACTGGGGGGAGGAAGGGAGGACATCAAGTGGACCACAAGTGTGGGAGCAAAAGCTGGAGAAGGAGGAGTGGCCAGCAGGGAGCTTCAGCGCACCTAGCAGCAAGACGACCTCTGCATCTTGCTGGGGACACACCAGCCTGGTCCTGTGCTGCTCATGTATGGTCTGGAGAAGAGATGTGACAGGGCAGGTTAAAACATGTAAGTTGGAGTCAGGTATGCCTGGATTTGCATCGTAGATTTACCACTCACCCACTCTGTGACTCTATGAACTTCAGTGTCCCTCTGTAAAGGGGGAGAGTAAGTGTACTTACATCCTAGTGTCACTGTGAGGATCAAAGGAGACAAGTGCTAAGGACACACCCTGTCTGAGAAATGCTAGCTGAACTTTTCCCATTTAGTCACCTCCTGACTGTCCCTGTTCATCCAGTAGGGACAGGGATGATGGGAAGCTTCCACCAGGGCACAGGCCATCCAGCATTTTATCCAATTTGGGAAGTGCATTCTGTGCTGCCAGCTTGCGGTCCCTGCTTTCATATCGGTTGGTGACTAAGAGAAGGACCCTGCATGAGTGATGGGTGAGCAAGGAAAGGAAAACGAACCCGAGGTGAAAATGTCCACAATGTGGAACTTCCTATGGAGCAAGCTGACAAGTATAGAAATAACCTGAATTTCCTACCTGTCAAGGTAGTAAATCCTCCTAACTTTCTCCCCTTTTCAGGTAAGAGGACTAAAATTCAGACAATCACAGAGCTGTGATTTAAAAGGCTTGGAAAGCCTCCCCGTCCCTCTGGTCCTTCCCAATCATTAATGATAGCCCTACCCATCAGTAAAATGTCATTCCTCTAGCTTATTGTGTGAGCATTAATTCTGACCGCTTGTAGTAGGGTTTGCTGAACTCTTGCTCAACTGTCATTCAAGTCTCCAAATGACCATGGTAGACAGGGCAGGAAGTAGAACACACATGTATGCACACTATCATTCATGAGTGCCCAACCTGTGGCCTGTGGACTATGTGTGATGATTAGAGGACCGGTTTCCTCATCTGTCATGTCAGACATCATGGATTTTTTTTGTTTGTTTCATCAGAGTTACCCAAGGTAACTCTTTTCTTCTCTGTGGCAAATTGGAAGAATAAGAGTTTGGACACCCCTGGTGTGAAATGACTTGCCCATAGCATAAGAAAATACACAATGATGTCAGGTCCAGCAGAACAGGAAGAAAACAAGTTAATGCTCCTGAGTAAAATCACATAGGTCTGGGGATTTCCAAGTTCAAGCCCAAAACAATCACAAAGCCCTTCACCACCAGGGCAAACTATGTCCCAGAAGTGAGGCTGACAGACACAGAAGGAAATGGGGAATTAGTCTACAGAGTCAAACAAATGTGTTGCTGTTGAGTAGCATGAGGGTAGTTGTTTCAAATTGGGAAGTACCTATTAAGATTTTCATGGTTGCCAGGCATGGTGGTTCATGCCTGTAATCCTAGCACTCTGGGCAGCCAAGGAGGATGGATTGCTTGAGCTCAGAAGTTGGAGACCAGCCTGAGCAAGAGCAAGACCCCTGCCTCTAAAAATAGCTGGGCATTGTAGCAGGTGCCCATAGTCCCAGATATGTGGGAGACTGAGGCAAAAGAATCACTTGTACCCAAGAGTTTGAGGTTGCTGTGAGCTGTGTGATGCCATGGGGCTCTACTGGAAAAAAATTTTTTTTCATTTTCATAAATTCCAACTGATCATTTCATATCTCAGAATCTATTCTACACCACAGAAATTCTGAGGGCCAAAAATAACCATTCTGTTTGTCAGGGGAAAAACAATAGGCATAGTATAACCCCAATTCTGTATTTAGCATGTACATAGATCTATATCAAGAAAAATACTTTAAAATAAACACACAACTCCAGTGGTCTCAGAAGTAAAATTATAAGGAAAAAAATCACTTTTTAAAATTATAATATTAATGCAAAGAATGTGTCCCATTATTTTTACATGCAAATAATATCACAAAACATGATAACCTGTGAGGTAATACATATTAATTAGCTCTATTTAGTCATTCTGTCAGGTAAAATATTTCAAAACATCACATTATATACCCTAAAATACACCCTATTTTTATTTTCTCAAATAAATAATATAGGATATAAAATTAAATCTGGAATCTGCCCCTCTATCCCTCCAATCTCAGTTCAGAAATTAAGAAAAGACACAACACACACACACCATAGTAAACACAACTTATAAAGGAGATTTTTGCTTTATAAAAGTAGGATTATTGTATATGCATTCTGCAACTTGCTTTTGCCACCTCGTCAAATATCACATGTGGTGATACTAGAGGCTGTCAAAGAATAGCTTCATTTCTGCCATCAGACTGCCTGAATTCAAATCCCAGCTCTACCATTTGCTGTAACTGTAGGAGCTGGTAAATTATCTCACTTTGCTAAACTCTAATGCTTTTATTTATAAAACTATAATAGTCATAGTGTCAATGTCTTAGGATTTGGGACAGATAAAATGACAAACAACATTCAAAGTACCTAGATCAGTGTGTGGCATCCACTGAGTACTGATAATGTGCACTAACAGCCATATTGAGTAATAAAAAGGCACTATAAGTCTTTTAATCATTCACCTACATGTGAATATTTTATAACTTGCTAGTTTGAGTGGTTGGGTTGCTTATATATATAATATAAAGGGCAGCTTAATAAGGATGATGGACATTTAGGTAAAGGAAGAATTAAGAGGGAAGAGATAGGGAATTGGATACAAAGCATTCACAGTGTCATGACACTTGAGTGTTGGTGGGAGAGTAAGTCACCTTATAGAGTTATCTATTTTTCCAGCTGTATGCTCCTTTCTCTCCAATTGAAAATGTGTCATGGGCTTTACTGTTTCTTCAAAAGATAACTATCAGTATATGTGAGCGTCTATTTTCCTTTGGACATTATGCCAAAAGATATACTGCCAATTTGAAGGGTGAAAATTGTATTTCAATCTAATTTGTATATTCTGATTACCAATGAGTTTGAACATTTGGGATCTGTCTCTTTCGTAATTGTGTTTTAGATATTCATTTTGAGATAATAGTTTATATTTTAGCTTATATTTTGGTGGTGCTTATTTTCTCTTGATGTAATTGTCAAAGTTTTAGGTACAGAATTTTTATGTTTGCTTTTACATTTTACTTTTTGTTTAGTTGAAATGTCACTTGCATACTGAGACCATAAAAATATGCTCCTTAAATTTTGACTAGTACTTATTTTATGGTTTGTAACTTTTTTACTTTAGAGTAAAAAGGATGAAGTTGTCATTATTTTCATTATTTTTAAGTGATGTGATACTGTCTAGATTTTATTTTTATGTGTGGGTTAAATAGAAATCTAGAATTATTTTTTCCAAGTTTCAATTATTATAAATATCTTTAAAAGTCCATCTTTTCCCCATTGCTATGAAATAAATCTTTTTTAGATATTAAGTTTAATATATATCATGCTCTAAATACACATATAACTACAGATATACCAAACTTTTTTATTGATCAATTTTTGGATTTTTCTGTGTGTGTGTCATTGTCTTACTATTTTTCATTATTCTGTGCTTTAATTTAGGGTTAGAAAATTTTCCTGTCATTATTCTAAATTTTTCAGAATTATCTTGTCTGATCTTAGTCCTTTAACATTCTAGGTAGATTTTGGGAAAAAACTTCATAAGTTTTATTAAAATTCCCTTGGGATCTTATTAGAGTTGCATTGAATTTTATTAATATGTAAAGAATGGATGTTTATAATTATATATTCTTTGTTTTGGGAATATGGCATTCCATTTATTTATATCTTCATTTTGTGTTCTATTATTAATTCTTCAGACCTTACTCATTTCTTTTTTTCCTCAAGTTTATTTCTAAGTAGTTTTTTGGACTTTCTTAACATTGTCAATTGAAAGTTTCTCCAAATTATGATTTCTAATACAAAACACAAATTAATATCAGTATATTTATTTTGTATCTAGCCCCTTTGATGAAATCTTCATAGATTTTGAAGTTTTTCAGATGATTTGCTTATATTTTTCATGTACACAATCATGTCACTAAAGATAATATTTTCTAATGTTTATGCCACCTATTTTTTTAATTTTCTTTTTTCACTGGCTTAGACTGCTGTCTCAGTAACATAGCTTTATAGTGATAACAGAAGCCATCCTTTCCTTATCTTTTCCATACAAGAAAGATCTTCGTATATTCAAATATTTATTGCATGTCTGTTCTAGTTTCCTTCAGTTGGCATTATTTGTTTATTTCTATTTTTATTTTTCTTATGCTCCTCAAAATTATTCCTAAGTACATTTTAGATTTTCATCCCATTGTCAACTGAAAATTTTTTCTCATTACATTTTTCTAATACAAGAAAAGCATTAATAGTTTGCTTTTATAATGAATTAGGCCATTTTGGTAAAATTACCATAGGTTTTAAAAGATTTTAGATGATTATCTTAAAATTGTTTTTAAGGTAGTCACCCATGTTCAGTGGTTAGGGCACCAGCCACATGCACTGGGGCTGGTGGGGTTAAAACTGGCCCAGGCCTGCTAACACACACACACATTATTTTCAAGACAATTATGCTACCTAAACTAATGAAAGTTTCATCTTTTCTAATATTTATGCCTCATCTTTCTTTCATTTTGCTTTGTTACTCACTTAGTTCAATACCTCACCAATATAGCTTAATAGTGGAAACAGGAAATCGGACTCTTAACGCTCCTTGTGTTATATTCCTGCAATATGTGATTGGTTAGAATGAAGACTTCATACTTTTGCAACCAGAAAATTGATATATTTAAAGAACTAAATTTGGTACGAAGACTATTTCTGGTATTACACCTATTCTAACTGGCATCATTAGATCAAAAGTACCCAGATCATATTAGCCAAAGAAAAATGCTTAATAACTTTAAGCAGTTTTTCATTTGAAGATATGTCTCATCTGAATCCTCCAAGTGCCAGGGAGCATTGATTAATTCTGATGCTTATTTGTGTCCTATCCCAATTACCACTATCATTGTATGGGCCTGTGAGCAAGAGACAACACTGAATGACAAAAGCTCATTCACAGAGATCCCACATATGAAAGAATTCTTGTTCTACCTGAGATCAAAAACCTCTTCCCTGACCAAAAAAAAGTGTCTTAGGAGTTGGTCAAGACACAACCCAAGAAGAAAATTTTAAAAGGGAAAGGAAATTAACTCAAACAAATTAGGCCCCATAGAAGTTCCTATGAATTTTCTATAGAAAACTTTTACTTTCTAATTTAGGGGGCACTTTGGAGATTTTTAACTTTTACCTTGTGGGATTTTACTATCGGTCTCTCTGCATTTTCTCACAGTAAATATTCTTTAAAAACATAATAGTAGTGGGTTATTTTTAGAGGCTAAGGATAGAGAAGAACCTGACTTGATCGCATTGCCCTTTAAATCTCTCCCACTGCTTCTCCAAACCCTATTCAGGTATTCCAGAGACATGGAGTTAAAGAATTATAGCAGCAGCAGCACCTCTGGCTTCATCCTCTTGGGCCTGTCTTCCAACCCCCAGCTGCAGAAACCCCTATTTGCCATTTTCCTCATCATGTACTTAGTCACTGTGGTGGGGAATGTGCTCATCATCCTGGCCATCCACTCAGACTCCAGGCTCCACACCCCTATGTACTTCTTCCTCAGCAACTTGTCTTTCATGGATATCTGCTTCACAACAGTCATAGTGCCCAAGATGCTTGTGAATTTCCTCTCAGAGACAAAGGCTATCTCCTATGTGGGCTGCCTGGTTCAGATGTACTTCTTCATGGCCCTTGCAAACACTGACAGCTACCTGCTGGCCTCCATGGCCATTGACCGGCTGGTAGCCATCTGCAAACCATTCCACTATGATGTAGTTATGAACCCAAGGCGTTGCCTCCTCATGCTGTTGGGTTCTTGCACTATATCCCACCTGCACTCCCTGTTCCGAGTGGTACTCATGTCTCGCCTGTCCTTCTGTGCCTCCCACATCATTCAGCACTTTTTCTGTGATACTCAGCCTGTGTTAAAGCTGTCCTGCTCTGACACATCTTCCAGCCAGATTGTGGTCATGACTGAGACCCTGGCTGTCATCGTGACCCCCTTCCTATGTATCATCTTCTCCTACCTGCGAATCATTGTCACTGTGCTCAGAATCCCCTCCACAGCTGGGAAGTGGAAGGCCTTCTCCACCTGTGGCTCCCACCTCACTGTGGTAGTCCTGTTCTATGGCAGTGTCATTTATGTCTATTTTAGGCCCCTGTCCATGTACTCAGTGGTGAAGGACCGGGTAGCCACAGTTATGTACACAGTAGTGACTCCCATGTTGAACCCTTTCATCTATAGCCTGAGGAACAAAGATATGAAGAAGGGTTTGAGGAAACTAAGGGACAGAATTAATTCATAGAAAGAACAAATAATGGAATGTCATAATTAGGGGATAACCTAAGAGATTATCAGGTTATCCTTCCTTCCTAATCATTTTCCACATGGCACTCAAAGTGGTCATGAGAAGTGTATGGATACTAGTAAGATAATTGATCTGCGGCAAAGTTCTTGCTTTATATTTATAACTTTGACAAAATACATATTCAGTCCTAGGCTAGTTACTGCGAGAAATGCAGATTTCAGGAAAACCACCTCAGCCATCCTCAAATTTGCACCTATATAATGGAATAAAGTTCTTTTATAAATTCTTCTTCTGTAAGCCTGACAATGGACATCACTCAGTGAGCTATGAATCCTCTTAGTTTGTAGAAATAGAAACCATGTGGGTTTGATAGAGAACTAGGTGAAAACTCTTTAGAAGAATAACCTAAGTTCATCCTTAAGGATGGACTGATTGTGACAGAGGATGTTTCAAAAGATGAGGAAATAAATGGTCATAGTATTTCACATAGTAAAGACAACCCAAGCATGTAAAAGATATAAATATGGAATCTTTTTAAGAAACAGTGAAAAACCCCATGACACCTGTTCCATTTGAGAGAATGGAGAAGGAAAGATAGATAACTCTATAAGGTGACGTACTCTCTCACCAACACTCAAGTGTCATGATAATGTGAATGCTTTGTATCCAATTACCTATCCCTTCCCTCTTAATTCTTCCTTTATCTAAATGTCCATCATCTTCATTAAGCTTCGCTTTATATTCTGGAAAAAGAAAGCATATCAGTCAGGAAAAATTAGGCTGCTCTCTCTAAACAACTTCAAAATCTTGGGACCTCAATACCAAAAGTTTATTTCTCACTCACATTGCATGTCCACCGTAGAAGAGTGTAAAGGCACAGCTCACTTTAAACACTTATGAACCCAAGATTATAAAGCAGTAATCATTGAAAACACTAATCATCATTCAGGCAGAAGTTGAGAAATACTCTTGAAGAACTTACATTGGCAGTTGAATAGTCTGTTTCAGAAGTAACCCACAACACTTTTGACTAAAATCCATTGTCCAATATTAATCTCATGACTCCACCTGAACACAGGGATCCAGGAGGCACAACCCAACTATGTGCCTCTAAGATGGACAGGTAGAATATTTTATAAACAGTGACTACTATGCAACTATATTAACACACAAGCATATCAGTGTGAATCATTTGCTTTATTAATCCTCCCTAATTAATTGTCAATAGTGATAGTAGAGGACTTATACTCTTTCTGGAATCCTTCTGCTTCAATTACTTCAAGTTCTCACAACCACCACCTTTTCTGGGTCACAAGCTTGTTAATGGCAGGACTTGACATTGAATATTAGTCTTTAGGCCTTAAAGATGTAGCAAGAGGTGGCCCACAGGAATACCTTGGCTCCAACCTCAAGTTTCCCACCATTGCATTCAGTAAATCCTTTTACTTACAAGTCAGGGGAAAAAATATAATTTATAGTAGCCTTTTTGTTTGCACAACATCACCTGGCTTTCAGCCCTATTGTCTATCAATCACTTGGTTTAGGGATGCTGACCCAAAAGATAACATACATTTTTCACTTCCTTTATTTATGTGCCTTAGTTTTCTTATATCAAGTGGACACTTTAAAAAGTCAAAGTTTCCTGGCATATAAAATAATTAAAATCATTAATTACAACTTACAGTAACTTAGAAAGGTTAGTAAATCCTTTGCCCTCAAGAACTCTAACTTACTTTTTTTTTTTTCTATTTTAGTTTTGATAACAGCCCAGGCTGTTTTTCCCCAACAAAAACATGGCCACTAAGAAATCAAGGTCTTTCATGAAAAATCTTAAAGATCTCAAAGTTCAAATTTAAAAATATTCTGGATAACAAGTGACTGTAAGATAGCATTTTGGGTGAAAAGAGTTTTCAGTCTGTCTCTCAGGTAACCCTTAAACTTCTCAGTCAGAGCTGGAGTGTTGTCTCCATCAGAAAATGAGGCCCACTCCCACAAGACATGCTCTTATCTTTCATGAAAAATGAACTTTAGTGAGAAAGGAGTATCTGAAGGCTTTGATTAAATATTTGTTATCCAAAGAAGAGCTCCCAGAAGTAAACCTAGAGATCTGATAATAAGCATCAGTAAGGGTAAAAAAATCTCTTGTGAAGGTAGACATAATCAGAAGAAGGGTCTACACAATCCTCTGAACATCTTGTCATGTTTGGTAGAACGTTTATCCAGAGTCCTTGACAGTGTATCAGGATCTGCTCGCCAAACCCTTCCTCTTTCATATAAGAACTGGGGGGACTGACTGAGTACAAAAGGTGAACAATACTATAGGCCTGCCCTTTGATGCAACAATTATAAAGAGAAATGTATCATGTCCTCCAGTGAAAACTCATTTCATATTTGTAAATATTAGAGGTTTCACTCAATAATGAACTAAGGTAAATTTAATTTATTGAAAATATTTTTCCCATGTATTAGAGTGATGTTGACTAGGAAGATAGTGATAGCATGAGATTTGATGAGGATGTAAAGAACAATTCAGGATATTTTTAGAACAGAAGAGTCTGACAGAAAAGCCACCATAAAAAAGACATAAAAGGAGTAATCACAGAGTCCAATAAAAGAAGTTTCAAGAGGCAGGAGTTATTAATAAGCAGTAAAATATGGTTCAAATTTAAGCAAAATAAGCCTGGAAGATTGTCCATTGACTTCACTGACCCAGTCACTGATGCCTTTGATAAATTTACAATGGAAAAAATGGAAAAGAAGTCAAATTAAAGTATGTGAAGAAGCAAGTAGATGCGAAAATATGGAGAAGTGCAGGTCTACTTTTAGATCCCTAAGTGTTCAAACTTCTTTCCAGAAGGGATGTATTAGCTTGCATTCCAACCAGCAGTGAAGAAGTGTTCCCTTTTCTCCATATCCATGCCAACATCTACAGTTTGGGGATTTTGTTATGTGGGCTACTCTTATTGGAGGTAGATGATATCTCAAACTGGTTTTGATTTGCATTTTTATGATGATTAAAGATGATGAGCATTTTTTATGTGTCTCTAGATATATATCCAAAATACCAGAAATCACTTTATAATAAAAATATTTGCAGCAGACTGTTCATTGCAGCTCAATTCATAATAGCCAAGTCATGGAAGAAGCCCAAGTGCCCATTGACCCATGAATGGATTAACAAATTATGGTATAAGTATACCATGGAATATTAGGCAGCCTTAAAAAAGGATGGAAACTACCTCTTTTATGTTTATATGGATGGAGCTGGAACATATCTTAGTAAAGTATGTCAAGAATGGAAGAAAAAGTATCAATGTACTCAGTACTACTATAAAACCAATTTACAATCACTCACACTTCCTTATGAAGATAGATCACAACTATGGCCCAGAATGAAGGAGAGAGGAGGGGGGATGGGAGGGAAGGGAGGAGGTCAGATGGAGGGAGGTTGAATGGTGGGACCACACCTATGGTGCATATTGCAAGATTGTATATGAAATCACATTGTAGCCATAAATACATTAATGTATACATGATCTATGTGTTTATGACTTAATAAATGAAAAAAAGAAAAAATATGGAGAAGAGATTATAATTGTTATCAAATTTCTTCCACTGTCTTATGGTTTCCATTGTTTCCAAAGAGAAATTACTTATAATTCTTATCTTTGGTTCTCCTATAAAACAAATTGTCTTTTGGCTCAGCTGGGTTTTTTTACTGGTGTGGTTTGGTTTTGGTGTTCAGCAATTTGACTATAGTTTGGCTATATATGGATTTCATTGTGACTACCTACTTGGGGGTTATTTAGTTTCTTAGATTTATGGATAGATACTTTTGGTTACATTTAAGGAAATTTAGTTCAATATTTCTTCAAATATTTCTTGTATTTCTTTTATTAAGTCATATATACATAAATCATAAATACATTTATGCTGATGCCATGTGGGATTAATAAATTATGGTATATGTATACCATGGAATACTATGCACCTTTAAAAAAGATGGAGACTTTACCTCTTTTATGTTTACATGGATGGAACTAGAAAATATTCTTAGTAAAGTATCTCAAGAATAGAAAAGGGGTAGTGCCTGTGGCTCAGTGAGTAGGGTGTCAGCCCCATACACCGAGGGTGGCAGGTTCAAACACAGCCCCAGCTGAACTGCAACCAAAAAATAGCCAGGCATTGTGGTGGGCGCCCGTAGTTCCAGCTACTTGGGAGGTTGAGGCAAGAGAATTGCTTAAGCCCAGGAGCTGGAGGTTACTGTGAGCTGTGTGATGCCACAGCACTCCACCAAGGGCATAAAGTGAGTCTCTGTCTCTACAAAAAAATGAAAAAAAAAATAGAAAAATCCAATGTACTTAGTACTACTATGAAAACAATTTATAATCATTCACACTTTCATATGAAAGATGAATCACAACTATAGCCCAGGATTTCTTGTATTTCTATATGACAGCAGTAAATAAGTTGAACAAGAAACCAAAAGAGTAATCCCATTTACAATAGCTATAAATAAAATAAAATACCTAGGAATACACTTGACCAAAAAAGTGAATGATCTCTATAGTGAAAACTATAAAACATGGATGAAAGAAGTTGAAGACACAAAATATGAAAAATATTTCATGCTCATGGATTAGAAGAATTAATTTTGTTAAAATGTCCATACTACCCAAGTAATCTACTGATTCAATGCAATCTTCATCAAAATATCAATGGCCTTCTTCACAGAAATAGAAAAAATAATTCTAAAATATATACAGAAACCCAAAAACCCAAAATAGCCAAAGCTATCCTGAGCAAAACGAACAAAACTGGAGAAATCATATTATCTGACTTCAAATTATACTACAGAGCTACAGTAACCAAAACAGCATGGCACTAGCATAAAAACAGATGTATAGACCAATGTAACAGAATAGAGAAACCAGAAATAAATCAATACATCTACATGAAGTTATCTTCAAAAACTTCCAAGAACATAGCAAGGGAAG